CTCGTCATTGCTAGGTGCACAACCCAACCACTTGGAAACGCCAACAGTAGGCACTCTACGAGAAACACTAGGTATGAATATCGACCCTGCCTTAGCTGCTAACCTCCTTGATATATTCCGACGTAGGAAATCATCAAAGCAACACTCCTAGCACTGCCTAACAACAAAGCCCCCGGCCCGGATGGTTACACAAAAGAATTTTTTGTTGCATCATGGGAAGTAGTAGGCGACGATTTAGTGGCAGCAATCCAACAATTCTTCAGAAGTGGGAGATTATTAGGCCAGCTTAATGCCACCGCAATATCCCTCATCCCAAAGAGACAAGGGGCAGTGTCTTTGACAGATTTTAGGCCAATTAGTTGTTGAAACCTTATTTACAAGCTCATCTCCACAATCCTGGCAAAGCAGATTAAGCCTCTCATCTAGCAAGTGGTCTCCTCGAACCAAGCTGCATTCATCAAGGGCAGTTTAATGATTGACAACATAATGTTAGCAACTGAATTAATACGGAACTACAAGCGGAGCACAGGCCCAAAGGGAGCAGCGATAAAAATAGACATCAGAAAAGCATTTGATACAATCAATCGCGCTTTCATCTTGAGAATTCTTGAAGCAATAGGGGTGCCGACAACATTCATTAGGTTGATTGAGGCATGTATCACAACGCCGCGCTTCTCAGTCTCGATAAATGGCGAGCTGGCTGGGTTTTTCAAAAGCGAACGAGGGCTCAGACAAGGCGATCCGCTATCACCGTACTTATTCATACTAGCCATAGAGGTCCTCTCAAAACTGTTGGACAAAGCTTCATACACGGGGGTGCTTAAAACGCATCACAGGTGCGGCCAACCGAGAGTCACCCACCTTGCTTTCGCAGACGATGTGATCATCTTCTCTAGCGCTGACCCCGGATCTTTCACTGAAATTAAGCGCATTCTGCGAGAATTTGGGAAAATGTCAGGGCTGTAAGTAAACGAAGAGAAATCAGAGGTTTTCTTCAATGGAATGTTTGAGGCGGAGGCGATACCATTGCTCTCGATACTTGGCTACAAGTCAGTCACACTACCAGTCCGATATCTAGGGGTACCACTCAGTCCATGCAAGCCATCAAAGCAAGATTTCCTACAGCTAGTGGAAAAGATCCGGAAAAAACTGCAATCGTGGACAAACACCTTAATTCCTCTCACGGGCAGGGAAGGTACTACTCATCAAATCTGTCATTTATGGGCAGGTGGCATCTTGGAGCTCAGCGTTTTTCATACCAAAATCAACAATCAAAGTTATCAACAGTCTCTGTGCAACATTTCTCTGGACGGGATCCTCACAGCCTCGAAGAACACAATCTCGGGTTGCATGGAAAACAGTCTGGAAACCTAAAAGGGAATGAGGGTTAGGATTGAGAAGTTTAGAAGACCTCAACAAAGTTAACAGGTTGAAACTTACATGGAGAATTTTCAGTAGCAAAAGTTCAATATGGAGAAAATGGCTAAAGGAAAACATATGGAAGAGAAACAATTATTGGACACTAGCAGCCTCATCGAGATTATCGTGGAATCTCCGGAAACTGATAACAATCCGCCAGGATGTAAAGAATTTTATTCGCATGAAGATTGGAGATGGTAAGAACACCCTATTCTGGCATGATCCTTGGTTAACAGTCTTGCCCATCATAGGCATCACGGGTAGTGAGGGTCCAAGATTCATGCGCATCGACCAGAATTCAACAGGAGCAGAAGCATGTCTAGAAGGGCAATGGGCTGTTCCAGGAGCTCGATCAAATGCACTTGAGATGGTCTTGATTAGACTGACAGAAGCCCCTATTCCGTCATCAACACAAGGCAACGGCCAGGTAACATGGAAACAAAAATCTGGTGAATTCAAAACCAGATTCTTAACGTCGGAAACATGGGAGCTAATTAGAGAACATTCAACTGATGTCACCTAGTACCATTTTGTCTGGTTTAAACATGTTGTACCAAGATTTTCTTTTCTATTATGGGAGATAATGCATTGCAGATTACCCACGAAGGATCGGCTTTTACGATGGGGCATTCAAGTCGACCAATCATGCAACCTGTGCTTCATGGAACCAGAAACGCACAACCATTTTTTTTTCTCTTGTTGTTTCAGCTCACAGGTTTGGCAGCCCATGGCAAGTTTTTGCTTAAGCTCCCCACCAGCAAACATAGAACAACTAAATACTTGGCTCGCTAGCTCACCTACCGGCGAAGGGAACAACAAAATCATTCTGGCGAAACTAGTGCTGCAAACTGCAGCCTATCACATTTGGAAAGAGCGCAATGGCCGGATCTTCACCGGAAAAAAACAAAGCCCCATGCAAATACGACACGACATTGACCAAAGTCTCAGGAATACTCTTCTACCGTTGTCTAGAAGTGGAACATCCAACAGATCTATTCTTTCTGACTGGTTCTTACTCTCGGAAGATCTCCGATCACGTTCAACCGATATCATTAGGAGGAATCACTAGTAAGCTATTATAGTGACTTTTGTCTTTTTTTTGGGAGCATAGGGTGGATCCTTTTTGTAAACTTGCTTTGATAAATATATTTACCGTTTATCAAATGCACACCTACAGCTGCCACCTCTTCTCTTTTGGCTGACTGGTTCTATCTCACTCGTTTCTTGAGACCACCATAGCTGCTGCATTTTATTTTCTGTTATAAATTTCTATCCTATTTTGACCATTGCTTATGGGTTCCTTTTGTATACAGTCTTGGACTGGACGTACATTTTTGCTAGATTAATACACATCACTTTCATAAAAAAAAAAACTAATCTAGATCACCTAAATTAATATAACATTATAAAATATATTATTATTATTATTATTATTATTATTATTTGATATGTTGTTATATTTTAATTATTCTTTTTTATTTTTTTATATTTTAATATATTTTTTAAAATGTGATCGATGTACCGTGTCATTACCATATCATATAGTATTTAACTTGTTGTCATGTTAAAATTGCAAAAAAATTATTCTTATATGAAAATTTGGTTACAGTTCATACTATTTTTTGTGAATGCAGAAATTTATTGATTAGTTTGGAATTTTCGATATAGTTGAATATTTTATATGATAATCTACTTTAGTTTTAATCTAATCTTTGATAGATTAGTGATTAAATCAAGATATATATGTATACATATGGAGGAATTAGATATTATATTACATTACAAGACGATTCTTGTTTTTTTTTTTTTGTTAAAACTGAGCTGTTGCAACACAAAAATACAGTTGATATTTTCCATGAATAAAATCCCAACTCTAATTACAGGGACCGAAATATATGTTTTCGATATATTTTATGATGATAATATTAATATCTAATTTATTATTTCATTAATCAACGTTAAAAGACTTCTCCAAGCCCTGACAAAACTGTGCGTCCACGTGGCAAAACTGCCCGTTGATATCTGCGTGTTTGTTGTGTATTGCAAAAGGTTATGTCAATGGCAGGATCTGTAATTCTTAAAAAGAACAAGACCGATTAATGAATAGGGAATAACGGCGCACGTCAGCGTCGCGTCTAGTAACGAATAATACCCTCGTGACAGAACTCCGTTACAAATTACAGGAGCTAAAGTCTAACGCCAAAATTTATAATAAGAAAAAAAAATAATAAATAAGTAATTAGAATGGAATTGATTTAATTAAAGCGGATTAATCTGTCCATTACATACATTCACATTCTAATGATTCCATAACATGCCACGTGTAAAAAAAGTTAAAAAAAATTGGAAACTGTGCTGTAAAAACTATAATCGAACTAAACGGATAAACTTTAAATGTTGTGTATATCGTTTGGTCCTCACAAATTTCGGATTTCCATTAGTTTATTTGGATAAAAAAAAATTGGTTATGGAAAAATCATCAATTTCAGTGTTTTTTTTTTTGGGATTTTAATTTGTCTTTAATATGGTGATAGTTATTATTTTAAATTTTTGGATTTAGTTTTCGCTTTCTGATTTTAATTTTTGGTTCTTCGTTTTTGTATTTTTTTTAATCTAAAAAAATTGAAAATTTTGGTTTTTAAATAAATTTTTTTATTAAAATAGTTTTTCGAATTTTAAAAAGATAAATCTATTATCAATTTTTGTTTTTTAGACTCTAAAAACCCAAAAACCTCCCCCATTCAACCCCTTTTCATCTTTCCATTTCCTCATTACTTTGTTGTTCAATAAATTTTTAATTCCATGGATTTGATTTAAAAAAATATATATAAAGGTAAATGGTCATACTTCAAATGTTTTGTGTGTGTTGTTTGCCCCCTCATAAATTTGATTCCTCGAATGTTATCTATATGATTATGCTATGATTACTATTTACTATTTAACCTTGATATGCAAGTTAATAAGATTATAAATAAAAATATGGTACTTTGAATGTGAAATCCTACTGTGAAAAGGATCTACAACTATTAGACTTCAAAATATAATTTTTTTTACATATTTATAGATTCATCAGTAGAAAAAATATTTAGTTTTCGTGATTATCGGTTAGTTAAATTTCACATATTATTTCTTTTTTTTTTTTTACAAAATTAGTTTGGATAAGAATTCCCATTCCAAAATTGGATAAACTTGTTAAAAAAAATCGCATGCCTTGCCACGCAAGTTCCGTACACGCACACACGTATATACGTAGAGAATAAAATATAAATTCCTTAAACGGAATGTCTAAAATATGTTTTAACTCTATCGTTAATTAAATAGGTACCCGATAATCTACCTACCCATACTAAATAAGTAAACATGCCATGAACTCCGTTCGGTTAGCGTTAGACCGAATTCGGTTTTACTAAAACCGAAGAGGTTTTGCACACAAATTGATCGAATCTCAAACCGGTTAAGAGCAAAACCGAGATCAGTAATTAGTATTAATCGCGCTAATTTAGCTAAAAATTTGGAGATTATTTAAGAGTAGTGTGGTGGCCAAGAAAATCTTAACAAAACGATGAGGATTTTGAGATTCTGAAGATCTCAAATTCCTTAAAGATTAGAATTCAGACTCCTACACTGAAAACGTCTCTCTCTCTCTCTCTCTCTCTCTCTCTCGCTCTCGTGTGTGTGTATATATACCCCTACACGGGTCTCTCTCTTTTCTGTCTCTCTTCAATTAGGTTTTTCGTCTTCTTCGTCTTCACAGAGTTCTTCGCTTTCTTCGGATCTCTCTCGCGATTTCAACAATGGTCAGTGCAGCACAGATCCGTAATGGCGTCGGTATTGTTGGTGCGTACACCTAATTCCCTCGTATATTCATCTCTACATTTTACGACTATATATGTACATATCGCAATCATCTCATCGTATGTGGATGATTGTATCTATGTATAGTATGCCTATGATCATATCGTTGTGTGTGTCTGTATATACACGAATATATATATATATATACATATATATATATGAACTGTTTGTATGTTTTCTTAATCAAGTAATTATATGAAAGAGTTGTGAAATCCAGATACATCGAACTAGAATCGAAACATATGTGTGTGTATATGAACGTGTACTTGTGTATGTATAGCTATGATTCTGTGTTTCGAATTCATCTTCGTGTTTTAGACTCGCCTTTGGCTGTAATTTGTTGATTGGTTTGATCGAGAAGGAAAATTTGGTTTCGAATTCATAATTCTTAGTTCTTTTGAATAATATTTATAAATATTTTATGCGTTTGGGATTTATATTCATACACTTGTCGTTGGTGGTCTCTTCTTTTATATGCAGGGAATGTTATTTCCTTCTTCCTCTTCGCTTCGCCAGTGTAATGCATCTCTCTCTCTCTCTCTCTCTATATATATATATATATATATATACGAATATTAAATACATACGACTTATAAGAGTATTGTATGTAAATCTATATATATATAATCTGAGAATTCTGAATTACATCCAGAATTATAAAATTCGTCTGAGATTAATAATACTATTATATTAACTGTTCTTGATCAATTCTTTAGTCAGATGACTTGGATTGGGATATAATAAAACCTTCTGCAATATCTGTGCATGTTCAATCCAAGAAAATATATTTCTAAATCTAGGATTTGATTTCCTTTACATATAAAATAAAATAAATATGCGTGTGTGTGTGTGTGTATATAAATGTATAGGCCGACGTTCTGGAGGATAGTGAAGAATAAATCAGTGGAGGAGTTTCAGGTGTACCCGTACATAGCGACGGTGATGAACTGCATGCTTTGGGTGTTCTACGGTCTCCCAGTTGTCCATACGGACAGCATTCTCGTCACCACCATCAATGGCGTCGGCCTCGTCGTCGAAGCCATCTACCTGTCCATCTTCTTCATCTACTCCAAGCAGCAGAAAAACACGAGGGTACTCCTCCTAATTCATCGGTTTTCACATTATAATATTTTAATTTGTTTATTTATTCGCTTAATTAATATGAGTTATGTTGTTGTAATTATAGATATATCCTAATTTGATATCCTAATTATGATTTGGCAGAGAAACATCATACTGCTATTGCTGCTTGAGATAGCGGCAGTGGTGGCGGTGGTTCTCATCACGTTATTCGCCCTTCACACCACCTTCGCCAAACAAACCTTTGTCGGCGTACTCTGCGATGCCTTCAACATCGCCATGTATGGATCACCCTGCCTAGTTATTGTAAGTCCCCCCCCCCTCTTTACCATACATATATAAATGCTCATAGTACATATACATATACATATGTATTATATATGACACATGGGCTTTGGTTGAATAATAAAATCAACAGGGAAAGGTGATCAAGACGAGGAGTGTGGAGTACATGCCATTCTGGCTATCTTTTGTCAGTTTTATCAATGCTGCCATCTGGACTTCCTACTCTTTGATCCACAAGCTCGACCTCTACGTCCTCGTAAGCATTTGTGCCTCTCTCTCTCTCTCTCTCTCTCTCTCTCTCTCTCTCTCTCTCTCTCTCTCTCTCTGTGACTTGAATTTTGGTAAAATATTTTGTATGTGGCAGATAAGCAATGGTATGGGAACGTTGTTGTGCGCTTCTCAGCTCATTGTTTACTTCGTATACCGCGGAAGCACTCCAAAGGTTAAGGATGCCGAGAAGCCTGCGGTGGTCGAGTTCTCTCCCTCGGCGGTTGCGGCCGCTGAAGATAGGGTCTAAGCAACATATGCTTACACTGACATACATACATATATATGCGTTTCTCTTTTATTTTTCTTTTTTAGCGGTAGAAGTTTGGCTTCTGTTTTTTTTTGGGGGTGGGGGCCTTTGAAGGATTGGAAATTTTGTTTTTATCGGTTTTGTTGAGAATTCAAATTTTGGCTTCTTTGTGGAATATTATTACTTTTCAGAATAGTCTATTGGTCATTTACATATTACATTGGTTACTATTTCTTTTCCAAGTTAATTTTCAAAATTGAGTCAAAATCCTTATAGCAATGCAATATTCGTTCTCCTGAGGATTTGAATAATGCTCAACTTCACAATGAACAACGTTAGAAAACGCAAACGGGAAAATACTTGAAACGCAAGCATATTAACATTTTTAGGGTTTTGATTTATCTGGCTAAGGTATAAACAAACCCTGACTTTTTGGGGGGCCACAAAGGCTCAACAAAATTTAATTAAATAATTCTTTATTTATTACGAATCTTTCCATATCTAAATATGCGGAATCCACCTAGCAGACACAAAACGAGATTCGAATGATACACACTCAGAACACAAAACTAAACTTCATTAATTCCGGAATTAAAGAGCATAATCACAAGTGAGGATTTAAAAAAAAAAAAAAAGACGGCGTGACAAGTAATCAACACCTCTATCATCCATCCACACCCTAAACAGTAAACGCGGTTTTTCACATATATGAAATTGATGAAGGTGAATACGTCACCGTATTGTTCCGTTTTTTTGTTATTTACGTGTTGTATACTGTGTCGCGGACTTGCAGTATATATACAGCCTTTTACTGTTGGGGAAAAAAAGGGGAAGGTGGATATTAATGTTGTACCAAAATGGCGGAGACCGTATAACGACGAGCGTGAGCGAGTCTACATCACGCGCCGTTTCTTTTTCTTCTCCGGAGTGGCGTGTACTTGGGCCTTGATGCCGTACGTTCTCAGTTGAAAGTTCTCGAAAGCTTCGGACACTGCTTCGACCTGACAACATACAAGACATGGAATAGATGTGTTATTGTCGTGTGATAAGATTTGGCAGCGGAATGAATAATATACTGGTGGATGGATGATGGGTTTGTGACTGGCCAGTTCGGGTTTCTTGGCATAAACTCTAACTATCATGTCCTGATATGTTGTCGGTAGCAAGTGGCTGATTCTCTCGTCGGGTATAGCGAATTTCTCGTCGCTCTCGAAATCCTGAGTCAGAGAAATACAAACATCAATCTCCTTATAGTCAGGACAGTTCTTTTTTTATCCTGGGTTATAAATTATAATATGATGAGATGATCATAAAATAAGCCTATAAAACCATCAAAACATTTACGAAAATGTACCTTGTAAAAGTTTATGCTGGAAGCGATCCAGAGTCATAAAGAAATTCCGAGCAGAGAGGTTAGAAGTTTCGAGAACTGGTGGGAATTAAGACGAAAAAAAAAAGCATAGAGTTTTGAACAAGATACCACTCAAGAGGATTTTGCCTTCCACGAGCCAAATCAATCTTCACATTGCTGACAGCAATATCCTCTTCTTTCAATGTCACGCCACCATGTTTCTGTTAGACAAAGCATGTACAAGGAGTCAATATGAAGTTTTCCCCTTAATGACCGATACTGTGAAGAAAAATGAAGAACCTGGGAACATATGATATCCTTTGCAGTGACATTTTTGAAATGCTCCGCTTTATCCTTAGGAACAGCGTATTCATTACAGAACTGCACAACAAAAGTAGATAAGAAAACCCAACTTTCCCATGATCTAAATTTCTACATATCTTGCGAGATGTTATTTAACTGATAAAGAGAAAGATGGAAACACAATATCGGAAAAGTTGTATTACCTGATACAACTGCCTTCTGCGAATGCGGAGAATCAGTTCTCTGGATTCTGCAAGTTCCGGATTTGGTGCAGTTTCAATGGTTTTAATAATCGTGTCGTCCAACTGCACTCGAGGAGAAAAAAAAGACTGTCAAATAGAATAGGAATTCTTGGCACAGGGGAATTGATCTGCATCACAAGCAAGAACTGAACCTTCCAGTACTGAGATGGATCTTCAATATAAGAAGAAATTCCCAGGAAACTGTTGGCCTTCACTAAAGCGTCTACTAGCATATGCTCTATAGCCTGGAAAAGATGATGGTGTGAGTTTAGAGACCTCAACACATTAAAGTACGCTTGCAGGTAAAGAAGAGACCGAATATAAAGGTAGGGGTGTAAAACGAGCCGGCTCACTCGTCATGATCTCAAAAGTTTTGGGCTCAGATCAATCCGACTCGTTTTAAACAAGCCAAAAATTGTTTGGCCCTAACTGGATTCACATGCTTGCGAGCCAAATGGAACCGACTCGCAAACCAAATAAAAAATAATAAAATACTAAAACATAACCAAAAATAATAAAATACTACATAGAATTATAGAATATAATCTTTCAAAAAGATTGAGGCTCGCGAGCTAGATTGTAACTTGTCAAGCTGGCCCGGTCTATCCCATGGCTTATGACGAGCTGACTCATGAACTCATCTCTTAAACGAGTCAGAAACTCTGGCTCGGCGCTCGCCTAAAAACGAGGTAGTCGCTCTTGCCTTATTTTACACCCCTAGGTAGGAAACGTGTGAGAGGAAAAGCAAAATGCTCAAGATGAAAATGGATACCTTTACTTTTGGATGTGTGTAGACTGTCCGATGAAGATCAGCACGAGATGCAAATAACTTGTGGACAGTGAGATCTGCAAAATTCACCAGCGTTTTAGAAGGGAACAAAAAGCAGTGTAATAATGAACCTCAGGCTGAAACACCAAACAGTAGATGGAAGAAACTCACAATCCTTAGCACGATAACAGATTTCGTCTCCCAAAACTCGCATTGTCTCTGTCAGTCTAGCAAACTCTAAAAAATTAAAAATGGTCTCTCATCAATAAAAGGATAGACAGAATAATAGCCGGAATGAAGACCTTTGGAATTGGAAATTGCATCCTAGACCACAAGCTCGTGAGTCACGGACAATGTAGTCAAACCTGTAAAACATTGTAGACAGTGAAAGTCAACTTCAACAACAAAGGAACAGATCAAAACATCAAGATCCAGTACGTAGAAATAGAAACTGATCACATATAAAACAACTACTGATAGATATTGTACTTGTCCACATCAATCCCATTGCGACCATTTGCGACGATGTCATACAAGAAGCGCTTTTCTGCATTGGCCTACAAATTTTAAAAAATGAGAGCAACGAGAGATAAAGTATAAGCAGTTACACTACTAGCTCAAAATAAACGAAAAGAGTTCTGAGAAAAACCTACTTTCAACTGTGAAAATTCAGTGCTAGCTAGCACCATTTCCTGTCGAGTAGAGAAAATAAAATATCAGTAACAGGAAAGCATGGAACACTTTATTTAATTGAATTTCTTGAAGACACACAGCTTCCAATTTCCATACATGAGAGCACCATCTTAAGAGAATCAGAAGAGGCTTAAGATTAAGAAAAAGGCATCACCTTCACTCCTTTCATCATTTCAGCATCAACATCAATGTGGTGTGAATCAACAATATAGTCAATCATTTTCACAGACATTAACTCATGAGACCTGGAGAAAGATACAACAACTACCGCTTAAAAAGAGGTGGTGAAAAAGAAAACCCACCAAGTCAATGCAGCAAAATAAGTGACGTAGTGTCTTTATCATACAGCGTACCATTCACAGCCACTTATAACCTTTGGAAGGAACTCACGCTCAAACATATGACTAAAAGGACCGTGCCCAATATCATGAAGAAGTCCTACATGTACAAAGTGGAGGTTAGAAAAAGGATGATATAGAAATAGTCATTGAGCTGACAACCATTACCTGCAAGTCTCACAGTCTGAACATCGGTGCGGTCAATACCAAGCTCCGCTCCCTAAAAGAGAGCAGCACGCACATAAGAACCTTACCATACCGATGAATTGTGACTTTGATACTGAAACATGCATAGGCAGTTCCATACCTGATATGTTTTAAGCTTCTGAACAGTTTCACCTGCAAGCCAGTATACCCCTAGAGAATGCTCAAATCTGGAATGTACCGCTCCTGGATATACCATGTCTGTCACGCCTGAACCAAGTACAAATTCCCTTAAGATATTAAGATGCATGGTCAAAAGCTCGTCGCTGTTAAGTGACCCAACAAGATAAGATGTTTAATAATGGAAACAACGAATTTGATCAGTAAAACCAAAGTTGCCATTTGGCCCAAACAATTGAAAGGTTTATTGTTGACCCATTAACATCATAAGCTTAGTTTCATTCAGAAAAGATTACTGATTCAGTAGTTATGTTATACACTGTTTTCTGCAATACGAGCGGTTCTCCATAGGAATAAAGACAAGACTGACATGTTCATTCTAACTATAAGAGAATCCGTATTTGGAGCAAGACATGTGCAAACTCACCAAGTTGCTTCAGCTCACGAAGCCTGTCACAAGGAAATGTATTAAAGAATAAATTTAACAAACCGCAGATCTCACGAGTCAAGGACAGAACAAAATAGTAAGGCAGAGCACAATCCAACATACCTCTGAAACTGTTCAGTGTCAATGAATTTTAAACAAAGCTGAATTCCACAGAAAAAAATAGTTAGTACATGTGAAAAACAAAACCACCCTGAAACTAGAACATAGTCGTGCTTGAAATTTCAACGACAGTGCTGATTGCTTTTCCTAGGATCTAATACCTGTTCCCAAGCAATTTGCCCCCCATGTAAAATATCAGCAAGCAGTAATAACACACAGGAAAAATCAAATCACAGAAACCAAAAGCAATTTTAATAAAGGCTCTGGTAGTCTTGTGCAATCGCACGTTCAATCATCTAAGTTCTTCCTCGTTCACTTTCTACAACTTAAACTAAGTCATCGCATTCAAATTGACAAGTAAGACTACTGAAATCTTCCTCTGAACGTTCGCTTTGCGCGAAAAAAAAAACATGGAACAACATAAAAGCAATCTCCACCAAACAACAAAAGTGTCCACTTACAACACGAAGTTACAGCAGTTACTGAACGATGTATACAATCGCATACCTGGCTTATATGTATCAAGCGACGAAATGGAAGAGAAAACGACGACACTGATCAAGTTCCGACTCGAACATACGCACTGAAACTCCAAAATCCCCACGAAAACAGTCCTAAAACTTTCACGGATAGAATTTCGACATCCAGAACGCGTAAAGCAACCACAGAGAAAAGCAAACAAGCGAAAGAAGAAACATTACAGGATCGAGATAGATGTTTCCGTGAACGTTGTCGTACACATGCTTCGAGAATCGGAGCGCCTGCGGCGGAGCTCCGGCGACGTCTGCCGGCAAAGCGAGGTCTTCGTAGCAATGCGCTCCCATTGGATTTACTCAGTTTCGTGAATGGAATGGAAGGGATTTGAGGAAATTCGAATTTAAAGCAAAGGAGAAAACTGAAAGGGAAACTGAAGGGGTTTTTATTTGAGGTAATTATTTAATTTAATGATAATTCAATTTTAATTAATTATGCGTGTGGTGGTGGAGAAGTGGGCCATGTGATTTGAGTGACCGAATTCTTCGAATATGCGAGACGTGCCATTGTCGTATCTATTGATACGAGTAACTGAAGTATTTATTATTTATTATGCGTTCTATTATTAGTTTAACTATATTCCAAAAGCGACTTTTCAAGTAATTATAGAGTTGAGGCTTTTCCTATCTAGTTTCATAAAAATATCGGCAATAATTTTTTTATACACATAACTAAATATTAATTGATAAGATATAACTATATATATATATAACAAGAAAATGATAGAATAATGTGATGAGATTCATATATGCGCCATTAATACAAACCATATGCAAGATGATAGATATAAATAATTACATCTTGTCTTTCCTTAAATCAAGGAGAACAAACATTTTGTTTTGTTAAAGGTTAATCCATGATCCTCGAATTCGGGTGGAAAGGCATTTTGTAACTTACTGTTTTGCCACCCACTATATATATATATATATATAGTCAGAGCTACAAACTTGGGTTATTTCAACATAATATTTTCAAAACATGTCATTTACTAAATTTAACTTTTTTTGGATTATCTTAATAAAATACCCAAATAATATTAACCCCAAGTAAATAAACCATATTCTTACAACGAGATAGTAATACCAATGGACACACACACATACATAAATATATGATAAACATATACATATATATATATATATCATTCTTATTCGCGGTTACTAATATATATATATGAACCGGAAAATGTAATAACTAAGCCTTTGTGTTATCTTCTTATTATCAAGCAATGGAGTCCAAGCACCAGCAGTAATAGTCGGACCGCGAAATGGCCATCATTTCCTCGGGCGACATCCTCGCGAGTTCTCCCTGCTTCCACGTCACGAAATTGTTACGGTTCTGAGCGTCCGAGGCCAATGGGTAAGTCTCGATCTCGTGTCTCTGCGACATCATTCTCGTGTAAAGCCTCATCTTCGCGACACAAATCTTCGTAAGGATCTTGTATGCCCACTTGAATCTCATACCTTAAAACATGTCGAATATAGTACTTTAGTATGAGAAATACAAGAGTTATGAACACTTCTTCAACATAATATAGAAAAAATCTCATACAACTATCCAAACTTTTTAAAATATGATAAATAAATATCTTAATTTTTAATTTGACGTAATAATACTCAAAATATTAAAATATATCAAATTAATACAACAATTCCTGAATTATTGTATCAAATTAATACCTAAACTCTTGGAATTGAGAGCGATTTCCAACCACAACCCAAATCGATTTAGGCATTTTTTTTTATCAAATGTATAAGGTCTTAGTTCTGAATCACTAAATTTTAGGTGTTGAGATATTAATTTCTCATATTTTAATATTTAAAGTATTATATTGTTAAATTAAAAATTGAGGTATTTATTTTATACATTTTAAAAAGTTGAGGTAATATGAGATTTTTTCTATATACTATATAATAGGAAAAATATTGTAATAAGGTCACACAAGACAGTATCTACTACATATGCCGAAGGAAATAAAATCATTAATTGAAATGCCAAGTTGGAAATAATAATGGATGCTACAATACAAACGCGTAGACATGTATATACGTGATTAAACATATACACATATATACATGCATATACGTACGTATATATAATATTTATGTACTAATTAAAGACATGTGTATCCTTATTAAAAAAATATATATATGTGTGTGCTCATATATTACCCGAGATAGGTTTGGGTTAAGTACTTGAGAGAGTTGCTTAGCTTGCTTGTTTTCATCAAAGGAGGGTGATTTGATGTATCCCTTCAAGTAACAAAATGGAAACATTATAAATATAAGATACACAAAATATTTGAATATTTAATTGCAAACAAAAGAATGTTTTAAGGATTTAGACAAATAGATTTGTAATAAAATGCATCCATTCGTCACACAATCGAAATCTTCAAGTCTTATACTTCGACAATAGTTTCACAATCCTTAGATTAATAAAGGACTAGTCGAGTAAGTATTTGATTCGTCGGACCACTTCTTTTATATGTAGCAAATTGTTCCAATTTCGAACTATTTCCTTAAGAGAAAAAGAATATTGTATCTAGAATTATATTTTCTTCCTTCTTCTTCTTTTTCAATTTGCTTCATGCAATCTCCTTATCTTTATATTACCTTATCATGGATGATGGATATTCAAGTTGAAGGCGGTCAAGGACATGATCAAGGCCATGTCCCACGAGAATCCTCACTTTTCCACCTCGTGGCCGAATCTTCCACATGGGCTCTCCATTGCACAAGAAAGCTTGTATCTTTCTCTGCACTTGCTTCAATGGCATTCCATCTCTCAGATTCTCCGACTGTATTCCTGTTGTCTCGTAACAGCAGTTCGTAACCGGGATCGAGTGTTTAACGAACGTGTGGAAGATTATGTTGTCGTGTTCGTCCGTTATGCAAATCCTCGCACAAATCTCGAGTGAACCACCACTTCCTCCTCCGACCATCTTGCATGAAAGTGCAACTACTTTAGGAGATGTGGACGAGGTATAGTCTATCATAGGATTGTCTGGTATGCCCAAAGTCGCCATATGAGTGGCTAATCCCTGAAAAAATTATATAAAAAAAAAACATGGTATTATGACATAGTTGATATGGCTATCTAATATATTTTGGCCGTATAGATTATTTATACCAAGCTGACATTCGAGAGCTGGCATCTCTCTTGATGGATCCGACGAGCATTCGAGCTTCCGAGGATCGTTAGGCAGAATCTGCATCCACGAACGTTGAACACGTTCTTGCATTCTTGTTTTGGCAGTGGGCCTATATAGTATATATATCATCCATATAAGCATGCATATGATCATAACTGTAATAACCCGTAAATTCGACTTTCAAACCAAATTTTAGGAAAACATATATGAGCCATAAAAATGTCCCTAAAATATTAAGTTAGACCCTAACCAAGTTGACCCGAAGGATTGGACCGAAACGAGCGAGAAAAACGGACGAAAACGGCCCAGAAGGTCCGGTCTGACAAGCAGACCGTCCGTTCCAGGCCAAGCGGAACGTCCGTTCCGCTTGTGCAGACCGTCCGTTCCGGCGGTCTTGGCCAGGTCACGCGCCGCCTCCCTTTCTGCTGAGTCACCGCCGCAATTTCGGCCTCCTTCCGGCGTGTGCCACCTCCTGCTTCTTCTGGGACGCGAGAACTGCCCTAGGTCCGTCCATTCCGTCGTTCTTCGCCTCTCACTTCGCCCTCTCACTCCCCCACAAACTCTCTCAAAAGTCTGAAACTTCAACCTTCGATTGGAGTCCCGATTTCGGTCGAAATCAACAAATAACCACAGCAATCAACCCTACAGAACATCCCCAACGAAACCCCGAGCTCGAATTTGAGCTAAGTGAGTGTTTCGGATTATGCCCAAAAATGATAATCAAATTGAAAATGGAGATTTGATTGCTTTGAGTGGAAATTGCATGAAATTGGTGTTAGATTTGGATTCCTGATATTCTAGGGATCATTTTTATGTATAACTTGTTGAGTTTGGTGCAAAAATTGGAAACCCGAAGTTCCTGGTGCGCCTAGACCGAACGTTCCAGGCATGGACCGTCCGTTCTAGGGTTCGCAGGGTTTCGGGGGAAGAAGACGAGTCCAGACCGTCCGCTCTGGACATGGACCGTCCGTTCTGTACCCAGAACGTCCGTTCCACCTTTCGCGGAACGTCCGTTCCATCTTCGGCCAGACCGAAGGGACCAAGCCACTAGACCGTCCGTTCCAGACGGGGCAGACCGTTCGTTCTGGACACCTGTCTCCCCGTTTTGGTTCGTTCTTTCGGACCGAACGAAATTCGATGCAACCGACCCCTATACGTGACCTACCTAGACACGTTTCCTACCCGAACCTCATGAAACTTGAATGAAACCGACTTATGGTAAGTAAAACCTTCGGAACGAGCTGAATTGGTAATCCGGAATGGTCGGACCCAATTTGA